TATATATATATATATAGAGAGAGGAAGGTTCAAACGACACTGGTGTAACTTTTACTAAGTGTTACACCACTCAATAACTTTATATTAAATGTGAATTTTGAAAAATCCAACCGTTAGATTGAAAGTTCATTACTATTAGATCTTATATATCAAATTTTGTTAAAATTGAACAACAACTTGAAGGTAATCAAAGTGCTCATATTTTAGTAATTTTGAAATGTATATATTACGTCAATTTTGTTTTATGGGAATGAAGTATCAAATCATCTTAGATTAATATAAAATTTGATATATATGATCTAAAATTAATGAACTTTCAATCTAACGGTTGGATTTTCAAAATTCACATTTAATATAAAGTTATTGAGCGGTGTAACACTTAGTAAAAGTTACACTGGTGTCGTTTGAACCCTCCTCATATATATATATATATGAGGAGGGATCATTTTACTCGGTTCAATAACTCATGTTCTACATTAAATTTTAACGATCTAACTGTTCAATTTAAAATTCTTAATGCATAGACTAAATCTGCAAAATTTTAGAAAATTTGAAAATCATTTGATATTTCATTTCATTAATTCAAATCAATGTATAAAATGATTTTATGATTATTTGTCAATTTGAATTAATGTATCAAGTATCAAATATTTTTCAAATTTTCTAAAATTTTGCAAATTTGATTTATGCATTAAGATCCCTAGTAGCTAATCCTTTATTTGTATCATAACTTTAATAAAAGGTATTTTAATTGTTATCTTGATTGTTAATGTCAATGTTTTAATAGTGTATAATAATATATATCATGTGTTATTGATTGTGAGATTATTTGAATAGAGAACATTATTCTCAAAGTATCTATAGTCGAGTATTATTATTAATTGTGTCAGCAATAATACATTAAGACTATTGTGTGAGTTGATTGGTAACCGCATGCATCTTATAGGTCATGGATATGGAGATATCAAGTTAGACATAGAAGTATAAATATTGGAGGTAGATACTTGTATTGGATAGACCAATTATGAAAAGGCTTCATAATTAGTTATGCAAGTGTCATAAGTGCATAACAAGAGTTATACTTTCAATCTTTCAGTTGAGTGAGACTTGAAATATGCGTGATCTTGCGAGAATAAGCCAATTTTACCTTTAAATAAAGATTTTCAAAATACATTGTTTTCATCTTGTTTTCCGTTTTAGTTCAACATTTTTTTGTTCTCTATTTTTGGTTCTTGGTTAGGGTTTTGTAAGAGGCTAAGACTCACCGCCGAAGAATTCTTTCCCTTAATTATGGTTAATTCTTTCTCTTATGTTTATGGATTTTAGTAAAAGATATCAAGGTTTTATCATGTCATGTCTAGCTAAGTTCTCTATTTTAGGATTATGATGTAATTATTTTTTATGAACTCTCAATTATGAATTGAGTGGATTCTTTTTGTATTTGTTGGATTGTTTTGGTTATTTTAAAGCTCTCTCAGTTAATTGATGGTTCATGGCCAAACTTCGTTAACTAACGGAACCAATAATCAAATTTGGGAAACTTGTATGATAAAAAACTAATTTTCTAAGTTTTCATTTTAGATTAATTATTTAATTGGCTTCTCCAATTGTATACCTCGTTCTACAATAAACTTTAAATGATCAATTTAGGATTTTCACAAATTAAGGCCCGTTAATTTTGATGAACAAAAGTTATTAACAATTTCTTAAGTAAAATTGATAGTAAGAATTAAAATTCACACAATTTTCATAAGGAGTGATTAATTGGGTCAAATGCAGTTACAATCCTAGAGCTTTTTAATACTGAATCTTAATCAATTTATTTTTTTCTACTTTAATTTTTATTTTGCATGGATTTTGTCACATTCTCAAAATTTTAATTTTATTCCTTCAAACTATTAAAAATTATAATTGTTATTAAATACTTGAATTTAGTCTTTTAAGTTCAATATATAAACATTATTCATTATTATTATTATGATAAGTTACGTTTGTATTTAAGCGCATTTTATACATAAAAGCATATATAAAAACAAGATGTGTAATAAAAATATACCTGGTATAATTTTTTTTCTTCTATATTTGTTTCAATTTCATCAATTGTATTTTCCCTTATTTTAACGTTCTCAAATGATAAGTTAATTCAGGCAAAATCAGAGTTGAATAAAATCGCACAGAATCTCATCTAAACAACCACCAGTGTTGTTTAATTACTTAACTTTATGTACACAAGTAGAGATTTTTCTACAAACAGAAAAAGAACATAACATGCATGTGAGAGAACTTTTGTGAGCTGCAGAAGGCAAGTTGAATTGACAAGCTCAGTTGATCTGGATAAATGAAAGCACGGAATCTGGCAATCTATTATGATAAACCATCCCAAACTAAACTATATCTTCTGCTGCATGCACGTATAACCATATATATTTATATATATCTGCACACTATGGGTGTGCAATTTGATATATAACAATTTAAGATTCAGAAAATGTTTGGATACGAATCAGAAATATTTTTAAAAACATTTCTATTATTGGATCCAAACATACTATAATTTCATCTACATCTCCTTGAACATCTCTAATGACATTACACTATTATATATATATAGCATCAAATTAAACTGGAACTGTCCTACCAGAAGAGGATGCACCTTGCTGTTGCTGCTCATGATGATTATTACCTTCTTCATCTTCGTTCTCCCCACTCAACTCCTCCAAGGACTTCCCTTTAGATTCCGGAACCAAGAACGTGAAAAACAAGCCAAGACAATTCACCACAGCCAGCAAAATGAGGGTGTTCTTCATCCCAATCCCCGCGGGGTAACCCGCGTCCCGCTTCTTAGGATCCTTGTCCTGAGAAGCATAAAGGAAGCCGAACGCGCCCACGATGGCGCCGGCCTTCCCTGCGGCCGACGAAATCCCATGACACGTGGACCGCAGCCTGGCGGGGAAGATCTCGGCCGGCACGACGAAAGTGGTGGCGTTGGGGCCGAAATTGGCAAAGAAGAAGGTAAAAGCGTACAAAACGAGAAAGCCTATCCTGTGTTCCTTTTTGGCCCAGTGGTGGTAGGGGATGGCTAGGGCGAACATGAAGACAGTCATGAAGAAGAAGCCCATGATTTGGATGAAGAAACGACCCAAGTGATCGATAAAGGCGACGGTGAACCAGTAGCCTGGAACCGTACCGCATAAGGCTATAAGCGCGGTTGCCCTAGCAACTCTGAAGACTTCTTGAATGGCGTTCATTTCCTTGGCGGGGGGGAGCCAACCGATGTTGCTGTAGATGTCTTTCTGGAAGAGGTTGGAGCTGTAGTAAGCGATGTCGAGTAGGAACCAGGTAGTGGTTGTGCCGAGCAAGTGCAAGCCGTGTCGGCGGAGAAACTCCTTGGAGAACAAGCCGAAGGTGTTGGCTTCTCTCTGGACGATGATGTCCACCTTTTCCTGCTCGGCTTGGATGTCCACCTGAAGCACCTTGGACATGTCCTGCGCGGCTTGCTTGGCGTTCTTGGCGACGAGCGCCGTGTAACGCGCCGTTTCGGGCATCTTCATGCGCCAGTAGTAGGTCAGAGCGGCGGGGACAGCACCGAACATTAGGATGATGCGCCAAACGTAGTCGGCTTCCGGAACCAGGGAGGCTTCGGGGTTCGTTTCGTATGATGGAGCGCTGTACGCGTGGTCGAACGCTGTCGCCACTACGATCGAAACCACAGCTCCCGCCAGGATTCCAAATCCTGTATCACCAATTCCAAACATAATCATGCATGCTGTTAATTAAGCACATCTTTTATGATAATTCATAAAATTACCTTGATTTATTTCTAATTAGTTATCTATGAAACAAAGTATTTAATAATACATATGTAATTAATCACACTGTACGTGATCATCATCGACAACCTACTTGTGAGGCTATTCACCTTATTAACTACTACGTACTTGTGATTGTGAATAACAACATTCACCATAATTTTCTGTTTTGACCGAAACATTCACCATATTAACTCATCTTATTAATTATATATGATGACAATAATTTCATGACATTAATTAATGGTCACCTGACATAAAACTAATCACCATTAAATATTTAAATAACTTCTTTAATGATGACACTATATCAATCATATATCCGGTAGTGGTACTGGTACATGCCTGTTAAATGTTACCGGGGCAATTAATTTCACACACACACAACACACAAGTATATATATTCAAAATCAGATGGAAGATCGATAAATATACCGATTAAAAAAAATCATAAAATTGGAATGTGAAAGTGAAAGATTTGGTATAAAACCGGTCTAAAAAATTGGGTTGAATTGATTTTTTTTATTTTATAAAATTATTTAAAATATTATCATGATAAATAAATATAATAAAAATTATATTTTTAAATAAGTTATGTTATTTATTATTTTTAATATTTTTATTATAAAATATAATTTAGTCATTTATAATTTTTTATATCATGATATTTTATATTTTATATTATATTAATTTGAGATTTTGTTACTCTAAATGTAAAATTAATATATATTGCTATATCTTATTACAATTTAAACTTAAATATTATATTTAGATTTTTATATGCACTTTAAAAAATAAAAATATATAAAATAATATTTAATTTTAATTTTAATATTATAAAGTTCTAATATTATATTTATATATTATTTAAATATTATTATCATTTTATTAATATCAATTCAAATATTCAACCATTATTACCATTATTAAACTATTGAAACTTCAATCAGTATTGGGTTTGGGTTTAAAAATATTGATATATATATATATAATATATTTAATAATGATAAAAAATAAATATATTTAATATTTTCTATGCTACAAAAAATAGGGGTTATTAGAACTTATTAGACATTTAAAAAAAAATGAATATAGAAAGTTATAAGTGATAAAAGTGAGAATAAGTAATAGGCACTAATTTTACCACTTTATCTTTTCAAGTTTTTTTCACTTAATACTAAACACAGGTTAGTGATAGAAAGTACAAACACACATTTTGACCAATTTAAACAGAGAGAGAAAAAAAAAAGGAAAATTGCAGTTGCTTGCTGCTTTTCCTTGGCGTACTTTTCATTGTTTGAAAAGTTCTTACTATCTCACATCCTTATCTGCATATTTCGTTTTCTAGAGACTAGATCCTAAAATATCTTTGATAGTATTGAAAATAATAAAAAAAATCCATACAATAATTTTAAAATATGAAAATAAAGGGGTGATTGTAATTGGTAAAAGTTGAAGTATTATAGATATTTTTTATGATGAAATTATATTTTTGATTCATAAAAATATATATATAATTAGAGAAGTACCTTGCATGGCAAAGACGGAGGCAATGAAGGCGCCACGCGTCTTCTTGTTGGCGTACTCAGACATGATGGTGGCGGAGAGAGGGTAGTCGCCGCCGATACCGAAGCCGAGCCAGAAGCGGAAGAAGCAGAGGGTGGCGATGACGCCCTTGGCGGAGTGGCCGAAGGAGAGGCCGGAGGCGAGGGAGGAGAAGACCATGAGGGCAAGCGTGAGTCCGTAGACCTTCTTCCGGCCCATCTTGTCCCCCAGCCAGCCGAAGAAGAGCTGGCCGGCGAGCGTCCCGCAGAGGGCGACCCCGTTGACGGCGGCGGAGACGTTGGGAGGCAGCGTCCCTGGCTTGGGGGCCCCCGGGTGGGTGTAGTAGATGCGCCCTAGAAGCTTCGTCACGTTGGGGATGCTGAAGAGGTCGTAGGCGTCCGTGAAGAACCCCATGCCCGCTATCACTATCGCTGTGAAGTGATACCATTGCGTCTTCGCTGCATCAAGCGCGCTCAGCACTCCTACTTCTCCACGCGCCATACCTTCTCCTTCTCTTATGCACTCAACACTTCAACCCCTTTCTCTCTTTTAAATACACAACTAATCATCATTATTATTATTATTATTTACAACCCACAAACATGATATTTAACTAGTTTAATTATAAACAATTAAGGCTCAAACATGCTTTTTAATTCCCATAAAATAATTATTTATTATTATATATGACCCAATTATTATAAGAACGAGCAAGTATATAACTTGTACTCTTTCACTTTCAAATTTTATCCTCATCATAAATTCTGTTAATTTAATTAATATTTAATGAAGATGCTGCATCATCAAACATGTATATTAATTTAAAAGGTAAAAAAAAAATAGTGGGGTTGACTTCAATTGAATTGACAAGTTAACGATATAGAGATAAAATTATATTTTTTTTTAAATAAAAAGTCTATATTTTAAAAATGAAAGACTAAAAAATAAGGTTTTACATGTTTATAAAAACAAAAATTAAATGTAATCCAATATTTAATTACATTTAATTATATCTCACGTAAAGTATAACCAGGGACTACTTGATTCATGACTACACGATAATTACTTCTCTCTATCAACACTTATAGTTTTCTTTATTACATTATAATATATATATATAGGGAATATATCAAGTGAGAAGAAATTTATTATGAGAGATGAGAGGGTTAAAATATAACCTTTAGATTAATCAAGTGAGAGAAAATTTAAGATTTAATGTGAGAGAAAATTAATCTAAGAGTTATATTTTAACCCTCTCATTTCTTGTATAATAAATTTTCTCATATCAATCACTCAACGCTTGTCTACATCAAACACTCTGTCGATCGACAACAACATCTATCATCAGTTATCTATTTTTTTATTTTTTTATTATTATTATTATTATTATTATTATTTTTTATCTTTGTTCTTATTGTATTTTCTATTTTTCTTATCGTATAAATTGGTCTGAAGTTAAGTTTATTCTTAACGCATAAATCTATTATTAACGCCTTGTATGCGTAAGTTAAGTTTCTTTGATTAAAATAAGAAATAATTAAGAGATGCAGATAATTGTTATAATTGAGGGGTATTTTCTAAAATTAGCCGAATAAAATCGCCTTAGAAATATGTCTATCAAATTAGAGCCGTTAAAATATACTTGATTCAACATTTGTATAATAAATGAATTGGATTGGATTATGAAAACTTAAGGTCAAACTAATCCGAATTTTCACTAGCTTAAAGTAAAGCTTGATCGTGATTGGCGACAATATTTCTTTGTTGCCATTGTACAAGAATATATCTGTACTCATTTTTCTTTCTTTTTTCTCTTTTAATTTTCTTCCTAGCCGCGATAGATTTTAGATATTTATGAATAGTTATTCTAAATAATAATAAAAAATTCAGTAGCCAGTGTTATTAGTGTTTGTGGTACGTTGTCGTTTCCATAATTAATTAGTTGCATAAACTTTGACAAATAATTGTAAACTCGATTATTCAAATTGAATAATCTAATTTATGTTTAATTTTCAAAGCAAGCTAGTTTTCAAACAAACCCTTAATTTGAGAGGGACATTGATTGCAACCTTGAAAAAGGAAGCTGCACATTATTTTTGTGGTCAATATTGTCTGTCTCAGTTTTATTTATAAAAGAATAATTATGTCTTATTAATATTTCATTCATTTGATAAATAAGTCTCAAGATAAATGTTGTGTTAACTTTTTAATAAAGTATTAATTATCTCTTTTCTATTTTTATTTTTAATAATATTATGTAAAAAATGTATTTTGTATTGTATTGTTTAGTAATCATAAAATTATAATTCTCTTTCATTTATTTATTATTATTTTAGTCTTTATAAAATAATTTAAGATAATATTTATTATATAACGATAAAGTACTTTATTTTATATGATATTTTGAATTAAAAATGATTATATATATATAGGTGCAATATAACATGGTAAAAAAATGAAAACAAAAGCTATCTATTAAGTGTTCATAAATATGAGATGTACTTATATAATATATATATTATATAAGGATTAAAATGGTGGTTGGGGATAGTTAGAAATATGAAACTTAGGTATGATTTTTATTGTGACTATTTTTATAATTTTATTTATTTATATATAATAAAAAAATGTGCATATATCATTTTTATTATATATATATAGCTAAATTCACCTTCGGATGTGTGTGAGAGGAGCAATAGTACAACTATGTACTAAGAAGATTAGAAGAACACTGAATATTAATTCATTCATATACATATAAAAGAGTTAATTATCTATATACTGTCAGTATAAAGTTTTTTTATACTGGTAATTAATTATATCTTTTAATTATATTATGTCACTGTAAATACATTTATTTTTAATAGTAACATGACATAATTAAAAAATATAATTAGTTATTAGTGTAAAAAAACTTTACATAAATAATGTATAAGTGATTAACTATATATATAAACGCTCTAGTCAGAAGTTAGAAAATTAAACTGTGTACTTGTGTGATAGAGAGACTAACCTTTTTCAGTTCATGATATCATTTGAGAGAGCAGAGAAGTATTTTGTCTGTGTTTGTAGATATGAAGAGAAATGATTAGTAGTGGCCATATTTATATAATGCTACCGTGCATCATGTGGTTCATGGATAGTAGTCTATTATATGGCATCTTCGGAATATACCATATATGATATATGATTCCATTAATTTCTTCGATCGTGTTTAACTTTAAATTCATTGATCAAAGTCAGCATACGCAAAGCATTTCCGCGTTTTCACGTTACATCATGGTGGTGTGAAAGTGAGAAAACTATAATTTATTTGATGTAGAACCATGTCATTTGAATATTTGTGGGGTAGACTCTACGAAAGTATGAGTATGACCTTCGTGCCTTCGTGTAACCTTACACTCACAAAGTTAGTTCCGGGAAAATGCAACAATAACTAAAAAAATCTTAATTATACCTTAGATATGTAAGTTATTTACCCTTAAATTTCTAAGAAAAAGCTACATACATACAAAAATTATGGCTTAAATACGATTTTGTAAATATAATGATTTTGATTTCTAGTTCCCGTAATTTTTTTAATTTTTGGTCTTCGCGATATTCTTCATCGCTCATTTTATTCCTCACGATAACAGCAAAGACCAGAAACGAATTTCATTATATTTTGTAAGAATATGATGACAGAGACTACAACGTGAACCATTACATGAAATAACAAAAAAATCGTTATATTTGCAACAACTTCAATTATAATTAAATCGTTAATTAAACATTTAGACTAACTTATCATTATTAGTTATGATACTAATGCAATTAAATGCTGGTTTAACTAATGGTAAAGCTGCATAGCCTAGTGTGAAGCGGATAATTGCCACCAAATAAGAAAATATTTTCTTTATTGTGAAAGTATTGCATTAAAATAATGAATAATTTTTGCCTATAATAGAAAAGTCAATGCAACACAACACCAATGAAACCCTTTCTCTTATCTTTTCCCTTTTACATTTTAAAAATTTGCATGCTCCCTTATTGGTAGTAGACGATGACAAACGAGTACAAACCAATGAAGCAAGAGGAGCTTGCATATGATCATGTGAAAATAACGATTAAAATTTTATATAGGAATCTGATTGTGTTGAAAACAATCACGCATGTTATTCCTCTTAATTATTAAATCAAAGTTGCTATTGAGTAAGGGGAGTTTTACATTATAGGATATTTTATCCATAAATAATAAATAAATCATATAAGTGAATTTGATATTATATTATAATTTAAAATTTTAAAATATTAGATAAGTAATTTTTTTTACTTATATATTATTTAACATATCTAACTTTAGTTGATGTAAGACTTTATTTCACACTTAAATTTCAACACAATTAAGGGGTTATCCAATCTAATTATAATAAACTTATTTTATTAAACACTAGTGTAAAAGAGGTATTTTATGTAAGTTATTTTAGGGTTTTTACGTCAGAAATACGTTCGACGTAAATGCGGGAGGTGTAAAATTTACGTCGGATCCACCATGTTCGACGTAAAATGGTTTCCATCCTCCCCGTCATCAGCAGCGTCTACTTTTTTCGCGTCGCCGACCGGAAGCCCCAGGTCGGCTTCGAGGCTGTCCTCCTGGCATTAGAATTGCAAACCTCAAACTCAGTAATCTACTCGGTAATCGCTAAAATATCATCGCGAGCGACGTCGTTCTCGACCATCTCGGCAATTCTGTCCTCTTCGTATTTGAGTCCCTCTTTGAGAGTGAGGCTGCCGAGGGCTCCAGCAACAGCGCCAACAACGAGTTTGAGGTGGATTTTGTCGTGGGGACGACCAGAGGGGCGGGAAAGGGGGAACTTGCTAAGGCGGGAGGAGTCGTGGAGGTCATGGAGGTCTTTGAGGGGGAGGCGGAGGGTGGCCATGAGGGGTTTCAGGGTGTCGGAGGGTTTGGAGTGGAGGAGGAGGAGGGTGTGCTTGAAGCGGAGATCGGCGCCAAAAAGAGGGCCTCGCTAAACTTAGGGTGTTTTTGGTACTAAATTGATAACATATACCTAAGTGTGTAGTAACTTTTTTACGTCGGACCTCGTGGTGTCCGACGTAAAAAACTTGATTATAATTTTAAAAATATCACTACATTTTTTTTACGTCAACTTTTTCTTTGTCTGATAAGAATATAATGACATAAATTCTATATTTTGTACTAGCGAAATGAAGTGCATATTTAAAATAATACACATGAATTTTCGTTTTCTCATTAATAATGAATTTGTGATTGTTCTTATACTTTTATATAAATATATATATAATATATATATATATATGATCAAGTGTAACATATAATTCAATCTTATAAAATTGATTAATTAAATAAAAGTTATCTCTTATTTATAACTTTGTTTTGATCTTATTTTTTATCGAGTAAGAACTTAAAACTTTTCTCAATCTATTTCTTATATCAATTTATCCAATACTATTAAATTTAGTGGATGAATAAATAATCGTTGGCATATTATAATACCATATTATAAGTTTGAATCGAATTCAATTTTGTATTCACTTATATGTCGATACGATATTTTTCCGATAGCAACGATGAAAATCTTTTCCTCGTCTATTCTTTTCCATTTTTAAAATGCTTCTAGAGTGAAGGCAGCAACATATATAGAAATTTGATTGCATACGCCATGGCCTATATATATAATAATCCTCTTAATTAAGCTGAATAGTTTGAAAAGTAAAAGTCAGATATTAAGCGACAATCCTATCTGCTATGCACACCTGTTTCATTATTTTATTAATTCTCTCTTACTACCAACATTCAACACGCATAAACCCTAATATGAACCAGATTCTCACGAACATTTTATTTGGCTTTTCTACAGCTTCACTATTAATTAAATCAACTTGACTTATGTGCCGTACGTTTATATATTGTTAAATAGTGTGAGACATAAGCCCATCTCTCCACGTTAACTTGTCCCAATTGAGCAAGAAAGTAAAAAACAAAATAAAAATAAAAATAAGATATCGTCTCTTATAATACTATGAATCTAAAGAACTATATGAGTTCACTATTTCTTGTTTATATATTCTAATAATTTCTTCTTTTTTTTAACACATTTATTTTATTTTTCAATACACCACTCATTTTATTTAAAATTTTCTCTTTATCTCTTTCTATTTATTTCTTTGTTGTAAAAATATTTAAGAGATATATATTTATGCAGAAATAAAGTTATTCATTTTGTTTTGTTATATGAACATATTATTTCTAAGTAATCTCAATAGGAATTCACATTCATATATAGGGTGACACTAGATTTAGGATTTGATCGAAAAGTTTAAGAGTGTTGAATAGGATTAAAATATCTAGTATTGACTTTGACATAAATGTGTATTAAAAAAATGGGTATTTAACATTATTGATGATTACTTTACTTGTAAGGATATTTTGAGGAGGATATATTATGTAAGGTCTTTGTTGGAAACTTTTTTACTGGTTTGATGCGAATTGTTCAAATAAGGTGTAATTAATTCACCTTGTAACAAGATCACCTATTGTAGTATTTGACTCAATAACTCCTATAGGCCTTTGGGTTGGCATTGTATTCTGGGTAGTGGCATGAAAGCGAGTTCCCCTCTTTATTTTATTTACTAAAAATAGTAATATGTAATTAATTTTTATTTTTAATTAAAAAAATTTAGCTAGTCAATCTACCTAATTCACTAACTTGTGGTAAATTGAGTTAGATTAGAATTATTCTAACTCATTAGAAAATAATTTGGGTTGAGTTGTCTCATTTAAATCATCAATCCAGATGAGTCGAGTTAGTTTACTTTGACACCTAATTCTAGATTGAGGTGAATCATTTACCTGGATTACATTTAAGTATTGTTAACTAGAACACAATTGTCACACCTGATATGCTTGTAAGTAAGCATGTGAGGTTATTGATTTTGATTGTGGATGAGATATTTTTAAGAAAAATTAGGAAATTTAAATTTTTTAGAATGAATTATTTTGATTTTAATTTTTGCCATTCATTAAATGTTTGATTTGAATAAATTAATTTATTTTTTTAGTTTAGATAAGACAATTTAATTTTTCTTATGGAAAAAATGATTTTAAATATATATATATATATATATTAAATTTTATGATTAAACTTTATAAAAACAAAAATTAACCAACTTTTATATATTTAATTTAAAAATAAATTTGGATATTTAATAATTAAAAATTATTGATATTTTTTATATTGACATTAAAAGTGAGAAGGGGGTATAAGAGAAAAAAAGAAGAGAAGACAACAAAGGATGAAAGAGAAAAGATAGAGGGGGAGATGGAGAGGACAAAAGAAAGAGGAGAGAGAGAGGGAGAGAGAGATGATGGAAATAGACAAAAAGGTAAATAGGAGATAGGAGAGGGAGAGAGGATAGAGGAATAAATAATAATATAATGATACAAGAAGGAAAAAATATGAAGACTTTCAAATTCTTAAATTTAAAATTATTATGATTGTCATTGAAACATGAGATATTCATATCATGCATAATTGACTATAATTTTCATGAGGACAATCTCTGGTCAGGAAAGGACATGTGCCTCACTAACTTTTACACTTAGTTAAGGAGACTTTCTACTTCCTTAGAGTGTGTTTGGATGATGAAATTTTATAAAATAATTATTTTTTTATGAATTTTAAATGCTTTAGGGTGAAATATTTTATTTGGATAAAAAAATTCATAAAGAATTGAACTTGAAATTTAAGTATTTGTGAAATTCTTTAAAATTGTATAGGTCTATAAATTAGTTGTTGAGTTAAACTTGGCTCAGCATTAAAATTCAACTCAATAAAATTTGATTCGCCTTGAAATCCAACTCGTGTTTGATATGCATTTTTCCTTTTTAACTCAAAATTGACTTATTTCAAACTCATAATCGCTTGATTCAAAATGTTAACTCATATGACATTAACCAAAAGTCATAATATTCAAATTCAAGTCATTTCAAAATTTTAATTTACTAGTTGACAAATTTTAGATAAATTAATTATCTAATTCAAAATATAAAAGTAACCATGATTTATTGTTGGAATCTTGGGAAGCATACCAAATT